TGTTTGATTTTTGTTTTGTTTTGGTTCGTTTCTTTGTTAACAGTCCCAATCATAGACATCTATTATAGTACTTTTCTCTTTTATTACTGTAACCACCACTTTGCTCGGAAGGTAAGCCACCAGAAAACTATTGGAAAATAGTATGTTTTGTGCTGTATGACTACAGGGAAACGGCTGGCGCCAAAAATCACTAAAAATAATAGCCTGTTTACTAACAGAAACTACAGAATGGTTTCTTTTCTGTAGTTACAGATGCAGAGGTGAGCCCGCCAGCTGTAGCAATTAAATACTCCTGTCATTGACCTTCATTAAAATATTGTTTAAAAAAAATTATGGCAGAACTACCACTAATGCCAACAATTGTGTGACCTTGAGCACATTACTTCACCTCTTGGAACTTCTGAGTCCTCAACTTTTAAACAAAGTGGTTGAGATGATTCTAAACTAGGGAGATACTGCCCCCTCAGGGGCATTTGTAAATGTGTAGGAGCATTTTTTTAAGTGGTTATGGCCTGAGGATGCTAAATGTCCTACAGAGAGCATGGGGTAGTCCTGCAAAATGAAAAAATTGCCCGCACCCCCCAAACCCTCAGTGATCTCTAATGTCACTTCCAGTAGAGAATGATTCCGAGTGCCTGTCAATTCATTAATTCATTCAGCCACCAATTATTGAGTCCCTACTGTATACCCAGCCCCAGTGGCCCGTAATGGTTAAGAGCTACGGCTGTCAACCTAAAGGTCGGCAGTTCGAATCCGCCAGCCACTCCTTGGAAACCCTATGGGGCAGTTCTGTTCTGTCCTCCAGGTTTGCTGTGAGTCAGAATCGACTCAATGGCAAAAGGTTTGGTTGTTTTGGTACTATATGCCAGGCATCAATCTTCCCTGGCTTTGATTGCATCCTTCTTTCCTCTTCTCTTTTTTCTAAAAGTCTTCCCTACCCACCTCCCCACCCCACTGCCATCGAGTCAATTCCAACTCATAGCAACCCTATAGGACAGAGTAGAACTGCCCCATAGGGTTTCCAAGGCAGTAAATCTTTAATGGAAGTGCCTGCCACATTTTTCTCCCTCTGAGCCGCTGGTGGGTCAGTTAGCAGCCGAACGCTTTAACCACTGTGCCCCCAGGGCTCCTTCTCCATACCTTCAGGACCACCTAATACAAGCAACAATTTTTCATTTCAGCCCATTAAGGGAATAGGTCCCAGGACTCATCTGGTGCTTTGGGGTTTCTAATGACGCTGACAACCAAAAAGGCTCACTTGGACCCTCCCCAAAGATCAATTATGATTGCTTTCAATAATTCAGGAATGGAAGCTTTCAGCTGCACTGACCTAGGGCTTCCAGCCCGATAATGAATTCCCAATTGTGAGCATGTAGATAAATATTTTAACTGTTGATTCAATCATTTTTAATCTTTAAGACAAAATGCCAACTGTTTTATGCCCAGTGAACAGTTTTCACTAGCAAACTGAAATTTCCTAGTATGCTTAAATGGCAGTTGAGGCCAGTTGTAAAACCTGCCTTAGAGCATATTACCTCATCAAATGGAATCCTCAACTTACTAATTAACTGTGCAATGATCAACTGTGGACTGTAGTACAATCCAGCCTGCCCCACTGTAATGAGCCCCTCTGCACATAGCCGCTCCAGGAGTGCTGTGACTCCTGAGCTCAGCTCCCCACAACCATTAGAGTGCTACTTAGCATTCACATGGCCCTTTATCACCTCATCATCTCATAGCAAGTCCAGGGACAGCTTGAGATTCTGATAGCTTGTTCCGTTTTGCAAGCAGAGAAGACTAGCGCACAGAGGAGCGAGATGGTCTGCACAGGTCATACAAAGCTTTGGTGGGAGAGGGGATTCTGAGTGCCAAAAATCCACCTGCTGTTCAGGAAGGCTTTGAGACTCTACAAACATTTTTCAGCCTTCAGTGAATCATGTTTTTGTTTGTTGTGTGCCAGAATCAACTTGAGTTGATTATCGATCTTATATGAAAAAGTAGAACTGCCCCCATAGGGTTTCCTAGGCTGTGTAGTCTTTACAAGAGCAAATCACCAGGTCTTTTCTCCTGAGGAGCCGCTGGGTGAGTTCTAACCGTCAACCTTTTAGTTAGCCACTGAGGGCTTAATGATTGCGCCAGGAGAGCTCCTTAGAGACTGCATTTTGATGTTTCTAATCATGACACTCTTTGTGTTTCTTGGTCCTGTAACTATGTATTGAACAGTTCTCACGAGCCCGGCAGAGTTCAGGGTGCTGAGACTATAGTCTTGAACTCGGGGACCTCCAGATGAGTGGGGAGATCAAACTTTATGACAATAATTCCATAATTAATTAAGTACTTTTGCAACTGGCATTACAAAGGAGAAATACAAGATGCAAGGAAAGCATCAAACAGGACCTGACCTGACCCTGTCTTAGTTTCTTAGTGCTGCTATAAGAGAAATACCACAAGTGGGTGGCTTTAACAAACAGAAATTTATTTTCTCACAGTCTAGGAGGCTAGAAGTCCAAATTCAGGGTACCAGCTCTAAAAAAAAAACAAACTCATTGCTGTCTAGTCAATTCCAACTTATAGTGACCTATTGGACAGGGTAGAGCTACTCTGTAGGGTTTCCAAGGCTGTATATTTTTTATGGAAACAGACTGCCACGTTTCCCCTGCAGAGCAGCTGGTGGGTTCAAACTGCCAGCCTTTCGGTTAGCAGTTGAGTGCTTAATCATTGTGCCACCAGGGCTCTAGGGGAAGGCTTTCTGTCTGTGTAGGCTCTGGGGAAAGCTCCTTGTCTCTCTTTAGCTTCTGTTCCTCAGGTCCTTTGTAATCTTCATGTGGCATCTACCTTCCCCTTCATTTGTGGTTCCTTCTCTGTGCCTAATCTGCTCTGTTTATATCTCAAAGGTGACTGGTTTAAGACATGCCCTACACTGGTGTAGCCTCACTGCTATAACAAAGAAAGTACGATTCCCAAAAGGGATTACATCCACAGGTTTAGGATTTATAACACATACTTTGGGGAACACAATCCAATCCATAAAAGGTCCCGAGAGGCTTTTCTGAGGAGGCAGTATGTAGGTGCAGGCCTGCAGGAAACGAGTTGGGGTGGAGCATTCCAGACAGAGGGATGCAGGAGTGAAGTCCCTGAGGGAGGAAGGATGCCTGTCCGGGAAGGGGAAGATGGTAGCTCAGTCTAGAGGGCAGAGATGGGGGAGGGTGGCATGAGTAGATTTGAGAGACATTTAGAAGGTGGAATTGGCAGAACTTGGTGACCAACAGGACGTAGGCAGTGAGGGTGAAGGCGCATTAGGGATCACTGCCCTGTGTTTGGGAGCATTGGTGGTTTCTGTGGTAGAATTCTTGCCTTCCAGGCAGGAGAATAATGTTCAAATCATGGACAGTACACCTCAAGCTCAGCCACCACCCATCTGTCAGTGGAGGCTTACCTGTTGCTTTGATGTGAACAAGCTTCAGCAGAGCTTCTAGACTAAGACAGACTAGGAAGAAAGGCCTGGGGATCAGTGTATCACAATGGTCCAATCTCATTGTGCATGGGAAGCCCATGAGTTGGGGGCTGACTCGACGACAACTAACAACAAAAATGCCCTGTGTCTGACTGCTAAGTGGTAGGGGCCACTTGTTTAAGATTCTAGAGGAGGAGCTGTACTGGGCAGTGGGATGCGACTTCAAATGAGTTTCTCATTTGGTATGTGCAGTTTAAGGTCATATGGGGCATCCGGTTTGTGCATGTCCTATATGACGTATCCAAAGGTCACCGCATCTTACCAGGGTATTATAGAGACTGACCCAGTTACATGAAGCCCAGAGCGTCTGTTTGGAAGCAGGGTTATAGATAAGCGTTGAGGACCTCGTAGCTTACAAAGTACTTTCACTTGTATTATCTCTGTGCTTGATTATGATCTCTGGGAAGAGTAGGCAGGGGTTGTTATCTTCATTCTGTTGATGGTAAATTGAAGCATCATGAGTTTGTGATTTGCTCACGGCCACACAACTATAAGTGAGAAGTAGTACTCAAATTCAAGTCTTCTGACTCCAGCATAGGGGTCTTCTCATTTCCCCATACTGTCTTACTACAATGACTGGGACGAATTCTCTACCAATTCTTGAGGCTTCCATGTCTGATGGAGTCTGACAGTTTGTGCAGAATAAAATTGTTCAACCATCTCAGTTTTTACTCTTTTTTACAGCAGTATTTTTTAAAGTATTTGTAAACTTTTGAGGCTATTTGTATTATATATAGACCAATTGTTTTTCTTTTAAGAGTGAAACTTTAAGTACAGATTAAAGTAGTTTACTGGTGGTGGTACAGAGACAATTGTCTGGGAGAAACTAAACTTCTAGATGTTCTTTTGTCTAAAGTCTAATAATTTATAAAACATTGTAAGACCTCTGCACTCTCACCTTCCACTCACAGATGTTCTCCTAAAGTAGTGGACAATTTAAAATGATTTGGCATATTCCCCCATGTCCCATGTGTGCCCATGGAGTCAGCCATGGTTCTGAGGAAGACCGGAGCCCGAGTGCCCCAGACACAGAAGGGGCAGGAGAATATTTGCCACCAGCCTGTCTTATTGATCTTCTTTTCCCTTTTCCCCTGAGGAGCACTGGGGATGTAGTGGTTAAGAGCTTGGCTGCTAATCAAAAGGTCCGCAGTTCAAATCCACCAGTCACTCCTTGGAAACCATATGGGGCAGTTCTACTCTGTCCTGTAGGATGACTGTGAGTTGGAATTGACTCACTAGCAATGGGTTTCTTGTTTTGTTTTGTTTTTCCCTTGAGACTTGGAGGATGTTTACAATTAAGTGAAAAAGTAAATTTACATTTGTTTCAGAGAGTCTATTTTAACTGCATCAATTCTGGTTTTATACAAAAAATACAGGCTCACGGAAAACACATAACGCTTTCCACAGAGCTGAATTATTTTTCTCTATTACATGGCCAACTTCCCCTGAACCTCCTACTGTTGTTTATCTTCCTCCCTCCCAATAGCTCCTGGACTGTTTTGTGATCCCGGTGGTGATTTTGCTCTCCTGGTTCTTCCTGCTGATCCGGTATAAGGCTGTGCATTTCGTCGGCATCGTAGTCTGCATCCTGGGAATGGGCTGCATGGCTGGAGCGGATGTGCTCGTGGGAAGGCATCAGGGAGCAGGTGAGACTCCAGGTGTTCACCAGGTGATTTACTTCTGTGGGTGAGGCCAGAACAAGAAATGGAATGCTCATGGGTGGGTAGAAACAAGGACCTTAGGAACCTGGTCTTCCCAGTGTGTGTGTTACTCACACTTGCCCCCCATTGTCTGCACCTGAAGGAGCCCTGGTAGCACAACAGTTAAGTGCTTGGCTGCTAACCAAAAGGTTGGCAGTTGGAACTCATACAGCGGCTTTGCCGCAGAAAGACCTGTTGATCTGTTCCCATAAAGATTACAGCTTAGAAAACCCTATGGGGCAGTTCTACTCTGCCACATAGGGTCACTATGTTGAAAATCAAATTGATAACACCCAATAACAACAACTCTGCACCCGGAACAGTGGCAAATAGGAGGTGCTTAACACATGTTTCTTGAGTGAATGAAGGACGGAAAATACAGATCCCATGCTTTTTCTACATGAATTCAGAAACATTCGTTGTTTAAAAGTTAGAGCCAGGGCCCACTTGGAGGTTATTTTGAAGGCCAGAACTGCCTGGCCTGGACCAGCTGGTTAGAGGTGGAGGTAATGGGTCGATCGACTCCTGAGTCACAGAGGTCTTCCCCTTGCACCCCAGCCTGATGCCGATCCAGAGAAAGACTGAGCCTTTAAAATATTGGGTGAAGGTCTGTATGTAGGCTCAAAAGTGAATTTTCAAAGTTTGAATACTAACTTGGGAATGTGCGACATGTTTATGAGGGGGAGCTAAATTCAGTCTCTTCATGCATTGTTTTTTGTTGGTTCGCTTGTTTTGGGAGGCAGAGTTATTGGTATCAGTCACGGCTTGTAGACCCACAGGGTAAAGCTTCAAGATTAACTCATCAAATCACTACAGATCTGCTGGGAGAGTCCTGATCCAGGGTGGTTTCTAGAGGACCTTTTTTAAAGCATTGCAGCAACTAACAAACAAAACAAAACTTCAATATGTATCAAAATTCTGGTGCTACAGAAGAAATTTTGGGACAGGAAAAAAAAAAAAGATCCATTTTGTTAACATCAAGGGTGGGGTAAGAAGTACCTACTTTTCTGTAGTTCTTGGAATTGCCTTTTCTTCTACGGAATGGGATGATATCAAAAAACCCATTGCTATTGAGTCAATTCCAACTCATAGTGGGCCTATAGGACAGTGTAGAACTGCCCCAAAGGTTTTTAAGGCTGTAATCTTTATAGAAGCCAACTGCCACATCTTTCTCCCGAGGAGCAGCTGGTGGGTTTGAACTGCCAACCTTTTGGTTAGTATCTAAGCACTTAACCACTATGCAACCAGGGCTCCTAATTGGATACTAAGGGGTCAAAATTGGTACAGTTCTTTTTATGACACTAGGTCACGTGAGGTACCTAAGAGGAATGCTATTTATGTTTTTAAATTGCACCATAGAACTTTAAGATCCAAGGGCTCATTTTACAAAATAGTGATTGGACACCACGTTTACTTTTGTTTTGTTTTTTTTAAATGCTGCCATGCTTGAAAAGGGTCATCTGGAAAATATCCTGGATCAGGGCTCCCACCTAAAATTGGTGTGCCGTCATTATTAATAACGTTCCATTTGTTTTCACATTTACAGTAAAACTGATTCAGTTGCATTAATTAGCCAAGGCTATAAAACATTTCCAAATACTTCAAACATTCACCTGAACTTTAATCAGGCATTTAGTGTAATATAAATTGTTATCATCATATCCAGAGATTTTCACAGGAAAGGAGAATGGCTGACTTGATCTCTTTCATATTGCTTAATCCATTGTTTACCTTAGCTTGGGATTTTGAAAATTCTGTCCTCAAGCACAGTAATACTGGCCTTAGCTCCATGTCATCATTACAGATCTCCTCTGAGAGACCATCTCTGCATTTACTGATGCGTGTGGGAGAGATATGCAATAGAAGTGGCTCCTGAGAATATTGTAGATGTTAGAATATGTAAAAATGACTCAGTAAGACCAAACAGATACATCTCCATGACTTTTCTACTTCCTAGGAAAAGTCATGGATATAAAAGAGGTTAGAAAATAAGGTAAAACTTAAAGTAGCTTATTATTATAAAATCTATTTCTTGCCCTTCAAAATATTCTTTTTTATATTAATACATTTTTTGCATCTTCTAGCTCATTTACTAGGTCCCTGGGTGGTGCAAGTGGTTTGAGCTGGACTACTAACCGAAATGCTGGCAGTTCAAACCCACCCAGTGGTACCATGGAAGAAAGGGCTGTCGATCTGCTTCCATAAAGATTACAGCCAAGAAAACCCTATAAAGCAGTTCTACTCTGTAACACATGGGGTTGCCATGAATCAGAATCGACTCAGCCTCAGCAGGTTTGGGGTCCCTGGGTGGCACAAACTGTTAAGCACTCAACTACTAGCCAAAAGGTTGGCAGTTTAAACTCACCTGGTGGCACCTCAGAAGTAAGGCCTGGAAATCTGCTTCTGAAAGGTCACAGCCTTGAAAATCCTATGGAGCAGTTCTATTCTGCATACACGGGGTCACCATGAGTTGGAATTGACTTGACAGCAACTAACAGCAATAGTTGCTCATTTATCAAAGATGTTAGATACCCATAACAACAGTCTTCCCTGATTAATAGACACAATTTTATATTTATTTCAAGGAAGAGCACGCATTTGCAAGGAGCCAGATAATTAAATACAGTCAAGTAAAAGCGACATTTCGTTGAGTGCCTACTGGATGCCAGCCACTTTCTCATACTTTATCTCCTCATACTTTAATCCTCCTAACTCTACAAAAGAAAATATTTTATTCTTATTTTTGCAGCTAAAGAGATAAAGGCTCAGAAAAGAAAAGTGACTTTTGAAAGGGCACACAGTTACTAAAAGTTGTAGCCTAGACGTGAAGTCTAGCCAGTGTTCTTTCTGCTGCACTTAATCCTTATTTTTATGTAATTGTGACTCCTATAAGGAATGTACAGTTGTTCTGTCATGCTAAACTAGGGTGAACAGCTGTACTGGTTGGCACAGAAGGGAGGGATTTTCCAAAATTTAGGACTTTCTATGCTAAAACTGAGACAGTCCAGACAAACCAGAGTGGCTGCTCACCCTGTCTGAGATTCAAATGCATCCAGGGGGATGGGTACATTTTTATAAAATGAGCTAGTATTCTTTCAACCCTCCGGAGCAGCGTACTTCACCATTTATTTCTTAACTTAGTAGTGGGTAGTGATTTTAAATAACCTTCCCTCTTCTCCCGCTACCACCACACATACACAAACATCCCCAAACATGACTTCTAGCACTTAAAGCAAAAATCTAACAAGGTAAATCAGTTCTTACAAAGCAGTGATGATTGAGCTTAGAACCAAGGAGAAATCCAAAAGGAGGAATGCTCAACCCAAAGTGACAGGTGGTTATTCAAAGGGAATGATTGATTCATTCTTCTTTTAACTACCATTTATTAGGCACTTACTCAGTGCCAGATACCGTGCTAAGCATTTTACATGTGTTATTTTATTCTCAGAGATGTGATTAGAACCCAAGCTGCCTGAATTGAAAGTTGTTGCCACTCAAAACCTTTACCCTCGGATGGAATAAGACCTTTTCAGTCAGCTCTATTTCTTTAGACATTTACTGAGAACTTATAATGTGCCAAGATCCTTGCTAGGCACCACGTGGAATATGAAGCTGAGTAACTCACAGTCCATGGCCTCCAACCTTACTACATAAGAGAAAGGGTGTTGGAGGGGTAAGACACACTAGTTAACAAGTAACAGACATGGGTGCCATGAGACAGCTACAATGGTGTGAAATTCAGAGGAGGGAGAGACGGTACCAGTTTGAAGGGATTTCTTATAATTTCAGATGTGCCCATTCACCCCAAATTTATAAGATGTTATCCCCGTCATGGTTTCATACATGAATAAATGACAGATTTGCTGGGTATAATATTCCCCATGAACATTGAACAGAAACTGGCACCACCATTTCCAGGATCTACTGTATTAACAATGTGTAAAACATGGAGTTATATGTTGTAATTTCCAGTTAACTAGATACAAATTTTATATATAAAATATTAGTCCTTCTACTTTCTAGTATTTTTATCATAACAAATGCTTCATTATATAATATGGTTGGATAAAATTATGTTCTGGTTAACTTAAGTACATTTAATCAATTAAATTTTCATACATGGTATATGTATATGTGTCCTCTTTCAAATAATTTAAAAACTGGAAAATACACTTCATGGCAGAATTATAATAAATATTTAATCTTTTGTCTCTATTTAGAAAATACTTCTGAACTTGCAGTTGTGCACAACTGTATTATTATTATCAATAAATGTCAGTGCATTGATATAGACCCAAAGTGCTTGTGAATAGATTACTTAGATAGTCAAAGGCTCGTTAACAGAATAGGCCATAACTGTATAAAATGGGGAGTTTGAAATAAAAGGTTGGCAAGACTATTCACTGAAACAGTGTGGCATCTTTTTAGGACTTTTAAAAGATAGATTGAGGTTCCCTCGATTCCTGTTAAAATATTTCATTGTAATCCAGCTTTCCTGAATTCATTCATATAGAATTAATTTTATTAACCAAGAATTCTATTAAGTAGCACTTCCACACTTCATTGATACAACAATAACTGATATTCATAATAATGGGCCCACGTCCTCACAAGATTCTAAAATGTCTCCTGAGTGAAAGGAGACTGAATCATGTTCATTATAATTTTATAATTTAGTTATTAAAAAAAAACAAACCCATTGCTGTCGAGTCGATTCTGACTCATAGCAACACTGTAGGACAGAGTGGAACTGCCCCATAGGGTTTCCAAGGAGCAGCTGGCGGATTCGAACTGCTAACCTTTTGGTTAGTAGTCCTAGCTCTTAATCACTGTGCCACCTAGGCTCCAATTTAGTTATAGACATATTTTATTTTACCGAGCATTCCTCATATGAATTACTTAAAATTAAAAATTTGGTCATTATTTTATAGCTGGCACATAAAAAGATTAATCAGGTTGCCCAAGATTACAGACTCTGTCGCAGCAACCTTAATTTTTCCAGAGGATGTGGCTAGGGACCTCCCATCAGGTTTGATTTCTCACTGGGACGTCCTCAGGTTCTCAGCTCTTGGGCAGCCAAAGACAAAGACAGCAACTCCTAATGAACCCCAGGCAGCTCCCAGCCACTTCCTGATTCCCAGTCTCAGCTCCATCCCCTTGAGGCCAGCCTGTGAAACTCTTGTCTTTCAGACTCTCTTCCCCTCTCTTCCAATCCTTACCTACAAGTGGGAAGTTGCCTTAGAAAAAGTGGCACCATTTAGAATAAATATCAAGTTTACTCTAGGAGACTGCGGAAGCATGAAGGGGCCTTTCTCCAAGCCCTGCCCAGATTCTTTCACGCAAAGTTGCTACCTAAAGACTACTCAGTGCTTCCAACTGAACAGTAAGAACCCAGCTATACGGCTTAGATTGTTCCAGCTAATCTGGAATCCACAGTGATAGGTGAGCCTCTCCTTTAAAGTCGTGCTGGAGAGAGCACCCTTCCTATGCTGCACCTCTTCTGCCCTAGAGCTGCATGTCTGCTGAGCTCTTGGGCTGCTAACCTGTGCAGGTCAGAACCCAGAGACCAGAGTACAGAGAGGGTCAGTGAGTCTGCCTCAACTGCTCATATCCACTCTCCACCTTCACTGGCTCCACACTTCCTGGAGTGAGAAGAGTTTACCTAATTGTAGAAAATCCCTGAGGAAAGCATTTATTTTAAAATTAGGCATAAACCAAAACCAACCAAAGCTGAGTTTAAAAAAGTAATTTTTTATGACAAAAGGAAAATATCAATGTGATAATCAATTTAAAAAAAAAAAAAACAGATAACTTAGAGACAGTACCAACTCATGATGACCCCATATGTGTCAGAGTAGAACTGTGCTCCATAGGGTTTTCAATGGATCAATAGATCACCAGGCCTTTCCTTTGAGGCACCTCTGGATGGATTTGAACCATCAACCTTTCAGTTAGCAGTGAGCATATTAATCGTTTGCACCACTCAGAGACTCCATTAATGTGACAGTGAATTATATATATTTTTTGTTCTTATGTTACTTATTTTTTGGAGCCCTGGTGGTACAGTGATTAAGAGCGAGGGCTAATAGCCAAGAGGTCGGCAGTTCGAATCCACCAGCCACTCCTTGGAAACCCTATGGGGCGATTCTACTCTGTCCTATAGGGTTACTATGAGTCGGAATCAACTTGACAGCAACCGGATGGTATTTTAGGGAATTTTAAAATTTGTCACCAATAATTCCTCTCACTCTCATTTTGGAATTAAGTACGTGTTTTGCCTGTGGTCAAAATAAAAATTCTTGACTGCTTCTGTTTGTAGCATCTCTTTCTGTACAGCTGTTGTTGTTGTGTGCCATCAAGTTGATTCCGACTCATAGCGACCCTGCAGGAGAGAGTAGAACTGCCGCATAGGGTTTCCTAGGCTGAGATCTTTTTTTTTTTTTTTTTTCTATTTGATACCTTTTTTTTTTTTTTTTAGTATTTTATTGTACTTCAGGTGAAGGCTTATAGAACAAATAGTTTCTCATGAAACAGTAGTACACATGTTGTTTTATGACATTGGTTAACAACCCCCAAACACTTTAACCCTTTAAATTTTTTTTTTTTTTTTTTTTTTTTTTGGTGAAAATACACATAGCCAAAGATACACCGTTTCAAAAATTTCTACATACACAGTTCAGTGACATTGACTATGCTCTTACAATTGTGCTGTTATTCTCACTTAAGATGAAGGCTTACAGAACAAAATAGTTTCTCATTTAACAGTTACTACAAATGTTGCCCTATGACAATGGTTAATCTCACATCACATCAACAATATCCTTACTCAATCTTGTGTTCCCTATCACCAGCTTCCTTGTCCCCCTCTGCATTCTGGCCCTTGTCACTGGACTCCTGTAGCTCGTTAGTCTCATATGGTTTTACGGGACTGTCCACTCCCAGGCTGAACAGTGAACCTCGGAGGTAACTTCACCACTGAGCTAAAAGGGTGTCTGGGGGCCATACTCTCGAGGTTTCTCCAGTCTCCTTTAGGCCAGTAAATCTGGTCTTTTTTTTTTTTTATTTTGTGAGTTAGAATTATGCTCTACAACCTTCTCCAGCTCTGTCCAGAACCCTCTGTTGTGAGCCTGGTCAGAGCAGTCAGTGGTGGTAGCCGGGCACCATCTAGCTGTACTGGACTCAGTCCGGTGGAGGCCTTGGTAGCTGTGGACAATCAGTCCTTTGGACTAATCTTTTCCTTGTATCCTGTTCTCTTCATTCTCCCTTGCTCCCGAAGGGATGAGACCAGTGGAGGATCTTAGATGGCCGCTCACAGGCTTTTAAGACCCCAGACACTACTCACCAAGGTAGAATGCAGAGCATTGTCTTTATAAGCTGTGTCATTAGGCTGAGATCTTTATGGGAACAGATTGCTAGGTCTTTTCTCCCATGGAGCAACTAGTGGATTTGAACGGCCCTTTCGTTTAGCAGCCGAGCATTTAACCATTGTGCCACCAGGGCTCCCTCTCTATATAGCCCAGGGTGAGAATTCAGACCTTTGATTTACACCATGTATACTGCACTACTGGAAAGTGCCCTGAAGCAAGTATAATCTGTGCACGTATTAGCGTATATTCATAGACATGCCTGGCCAGAGACATTGGGCTTTGTGGAGAGGGTGCAATCTGAAGGAAGCTGTTCCCTCTCTTAGTGATGACTTCCTGTTAGGTGGACATGGGCAAGCTTTTTATATCAGAAGATATCCGGAGAACAGATTAACAGACTTTACTAAATCTCAATTGGTAAATTGTAGGACTTCCATGAAAATGTAAGGATAGAATAGACAAAAAAAGCTCAATTTGCTGATGTCAGATTCTTGTTAGGAAAATTTTGATGGTGTTCTCTCTGTTTTTTGGTTTCTAGGGGAAAATAAGCTGGTAGGGGACCTTCTGGTCTTAGGAGGAGCCACGCTTTATGGTATCTCTAACGTCTGGGAAGAATACATCATCCGAACGCTGAGCCGAGTGGAGTTCCTGGGAATGATTGGACTGTTTGGTGCATTTTTCAGTGGAATTCAGTTGTGAGTAAAATAACAAGAAATTCAGAGAATAGAGACTGTTAGGATTCAGTCTCCCTCTCCTCCTTCCCTGGGGTATGGTTGGCCACTTTATTTTGTAAAAATCAAGGCTAGAAACCTGTTACTGACCTCTCATACAGAGCTCTTAAGATATCTGAAAGCTAAACGTCTTTATTAGTAAATTTCTCCCAAACTAAGCAAGTTTATTATAAATTATTATAAAACATTTCATGGACTTGGAAGATAATTTGCAAGAAAGCATTAGAAGTACATTGATTCTTCCAAACCAGTGAGCTATTAACTTAGAGAACTAGAGAAGCTAAGTGTAAATGCCATGATTTGACGCACTTCCAAAAAGGGACATTTTGGTTACTAACGACAACCACTGCTAGAAAGCTTATAGTTTGAAATTGCTCTTCTAAAATTTTGTTCATTTATTGCCCACAGATTTGCAAGAGTAAACCGTATTTCAAATTCATCTCTTGGAAATTTAGTGTTTTTATTTTCCTGAAGCAAGTGAAGATATAACACATTCACTAAGCACCAAAAAGTCAGAAGCCCCAATTTTGCAATAATTCTAGCATTAAAACATGGAAGTCATCACTAATTAATACCTCAGAATTGGTTGTGAGAATAATTTTCCATATGTAAAGACCAGATATTTTAGTTTCAGGTAAGGGGTAAAGAAGGATAGTATAATCTACAGTCAACTTTCACCAAATCACTTTCTACAACGCAAGTACTTTGTAATTGTATTGGTTCAGTGTCAGAAAATATTTATGAAAGATATTTGACGTCACCTTAAATATGTTTTACAAATAGACTGCTTCCAAGAACCTTCTACCCTAAGACGTGGGTGAGAAGTTCTATAGCAAATAAGACAGAGAGATGGGAAGATTTTCTGAGAAGAATTGATTTTTTGATTCATTTTGAAAGTGAAATGGCATTATAAAGCTCCTAAATTTGGTGCTTCAGCTTTGTGAGAAGAAAAGGAATTGCCTAGTTCAACTACTCATAACCAACATTTTGTAGATGAGTGGCTCATTTTATGGGTTATTATTCTTGAATCCAAAAAATATACCCAGAGATCTAGCACTCACTTGCTTCGGTTATAGTCCATTAGAGCTGCCTGAGCCCTCAGGGAACTATACCACCGCTGCCAAAATAATGGAAGTGGTACCCAGGGGTGTTTGACAAATGGAAACATTGAAAGCACAGTAGAACAAAGTAATGCTCGCTTAGTGGGGCCAGGCTCACATCCTGATCCTCTTCTAGAGCAGTGGTTTCCAAAGTGTGGTTCTTGGACCAGCAGCATTCGCCTCACACGTGAACTTGTCAGAACCAAAAATCCATGGGCCCTACCCAGATCTACTAAATCAGTATCGCTAGGAGTGGGGCCCAGGAAACTGTGTTTTAACAAGCTCACCAATGACTTTTATGTCCATTAAAGTTTGAGAGCCACTGCTCTAGAGAATGCTCAATCTGAAAATTCATTAAATCTGCAAGCACAGAAATTGCTGAACCTTGCCATTTACATTTTAGAAAGCATCTAAGCAAGAAGAAGCAATGGATATGGGCAGACCGCATGAGAAGAACAGTGGAAGATTTGCACTCCACCATGCCCCACTGGCACACTCTCACCACGGTTGGCCACACCTAATAAAATCCTTCCGGGATAAACCTCAGGCTGCCCAATTAGACTTGCCTCTGCATGGCCTAAAGTTATTTTTGAAAATTTAATCGGTTGCTTCATTATTTGTATAAATGTGGTAATTAAGAAAAAAGAAGTCAGGGGCATTATAATCTTGCTCATCAGGTCTATTTTCTTTGAATTTGCAGAGCTATAATGGAGCACAAGGAGCTGTTAAAGGTGCCCTGGGATTGGCAAATAGGTAAGGGGTTTGCTCACCTAAGATGCTATCTTTAATAACCTGAGAGATGTGTTTGAAGAGTGATGTGGATGGATTGGGACTTGAACAATGGAGAGAATTAGAAGGGCAGAGGACAAAAGAAAATGAAATCCCGTTGTCATTTAGGAATTCTTGCACACTGTAGAGACTGAACAGTATGTTCAGAATGTTTCCTAATTGAGCTTCTGCCCATTATTATCATCAAGATGCCATTAGGGTAGACACAGAAGTGAGTGACCAACCAGAAAGAAAAAATGCCCTAAGGCAGTGGTGTGACAAAAAAACAAAAAAAAGACAGCAATTTACTCTGGCCAAGAAACACAGAACTAACATGATCATTAAAAAGTGTCACTTTAAAAAAGGTAAAAAACTGAACAAAAAAAATCATAAAAGGAAATAACATAATGGGCATTCTGAGCCCATAAAAACCTTTCAGAAGGAGCCGTCTGCACATAAGAAATGGTTAATTGATCTCCAAACAGACTTAGTGGAAAATTCCAGATGTGCTTTGAGCTGGTTAATAGTCAACCAGGACATCTCAGATTCCACCTGTTTCTAGAATCACTTTCCACTAAAAAAAATTAGGACAAGGACTTAAGATGCAAGGTGATGCTCTAATGATCACACCCCAAGCCCTAGAAGGGACTGGCATTTAATGTCCTCGGCCCATAAGATATCCTCTCAGTGCCTATACCTTGACACATGGGTTCCAGCACTGAGCACAGAGCTTGGCTTATAAGGGTACTTGGAAAATATATATGAGTCCCTAAGTGGTGAAAATGGTTTGCTGTCAGCTGCTAACCTAAAGGTTGGTGGCTCAAACCCATCCAGTGGTGCCATGGAAGAAAGGCCTGGCAATTTGCTTCCATGAAGATCACAGCCAAGAAAACCCTATGGAGCAGCTCTACTCCATAACACACGGAGTCACCATGAGTCAGAAGTGACTCAATGGCAGCAGCTTTGGTTTTGTTTTGGAAGATATGTGCAGAATGAATGCAAAGAGGATCAGAAATACAGATGAATTCTTAGGTTGCTACTGCAGCTATAACAGAAATACCACAAGTGGGTGGCTTTAATGAACAGAAATTTATTTTTTCACAGCTTAGGAGGCTAGAAGTCTGAATTCAGGGCTGTAGGGGAAGGCTCTCTCAGTCCGCTCTGGAGAAAAATCTTTGTCTCAGCTTGTCTGGCGTTCTTCTTGGTGTTCCTTGGAGATCTCCACGTGCCATCTCTCTTTCCTTCATTTGTGCTGGCTTGCTTCTGTGCCTAATCTGCCGTTTTTATATCTGAAATTGAATAAGTTTAAGACACACTGTACACTGATGGCTGACATGGCCCCATTAACGTAACAAAGAAAACTCCATTCCCAACTGGAATTACATCCACGGTTAGAATTTATAACACATATTCTGGGGGACACAGTTCAATCCATAACAGTCTCCCACACTGAAGCTGGCAGCTTGTGCCATCTCCAGCTACACGAGCTTTCGCGTAACTGACAGTTTCATCAAATTCTACTTCCCTGAGGAAGGACTAAGATGATATAAACTCCCCCATACCACCGTTCCTTCCCCCAGCCCCCAAGCATCCAAGGCACATTTGCTGCCAACATAATTCTCTCTAAAGACACACTCTGAGCTATAGAGTTATGCATGACTCTCCCTGCAGGTTATCACTAGTGACTTCAAGGCTGACCAGCCTTGCGTCTGTCACAGAGTCCTGCCATTTAATTCCTCTCAAGCTTTGCTGCAGAATGTTATAATTAAATGAAAATCAATAGAGAGGAGGGGATGGAGAAAGGAGAGGAGAGCAGCTGGGAAAAGAAGCCAGCGGTAGGTTACAGACGCCTTTGTGATTCTCAGAGCCAGGAAACAAAATGTTACCCGTGCTTGGTAACACTTAACATCAAATGGTCCATGAGTGTAAATTAATTTAATATTGATGTTAATAGCAATGACCAGAAAGAATTTGTTCTCTAATTATGTGGATGCCATGTGCACTTTCACCAGAGTTCTATTATAATTCAGCATTAGTTAAATGTATCATCAAAAGATAGTTTTATTCTGAGCTCTCGTTTTGCCATTAAAATGTCAATCTACTGGAGTACATTAAGAGCCATCCCTTTAATTCCTGATTGGAAATGAGGCCAAAATGGTCTAGAAGGGAAATAGAATATTCATCCTTTTCTTTCTGAAGCATTTATACAGTTAGGTTTGAGATATTTTTACACCAGGGCTGCCTTTGCCCTCAGTACCTCATCTTGACCTACTACAAGGTTCTAATGTTTAGCTCAGTTCTAGGCACATAGCATTCAGTAAATAAATGTTTATGAAATGAGTGAAGGATGAATGAATGACAAGGAAAGAAGATGAGTCCTGTTGTGTTCTCTCTCATCTTATAAACTATAGACCAAAGGAAAGCATGAGGACAATGACAGGAAGTTTCATGCTTGACATTTCACTTCCTTCTGGGAAACTGGGAAGTAGCATACCAGCCTCTGCAACTCATGGACCAAAGAGGGACAAGACACCAAATGTCTTGGTTGTCTAGTACTGTTATAACAGAAATACCACAAATGGATGGCTTTAACAAAGAGAAATTTATTCTCTCACAGTCCAGTAGGCTAGAAGTCCAAATTCAGAGCGTCAGCTCCAAGGGAAGACTTTCTCTCTCTGTCAGCTCTGGAGGAAGGTCCTTGTCATCAATCTTCCCCTGGCCTAGGAGCTTTTCAGCACAGGAACCTCAGGTCCAAAGGATGCATTCTGCTCCGGCACTGCTTTCTTGGTGGTATGAGGCACCCCTCCCCCCGCCGCTCCCCACCCACCGCCCCATCTCTCTGCTTACTTCTCTCTTTTATATCTCAAAAAAGATTGGCTCAAGACACAATCCAATCGTGTCAATTGAATCTTGCCTCATTAACATAACTGCCGACTATCCCACCTCATTAACATCATAGAGGTAGGATTTACAACTCGTAGGAAAATCACATCAGATGACAAAATAGTGGACAATCACACAATACTGGGAATCACGGCCTTGACAAATTGATGCACATATTTTGAGGGGGACACAATTCAACCCATGACACCAAGGAGGGTCAGTATCACCAACGAGGGTTAGCATCTCCTCAAACCATCCCCACACTCTTAGAAAGTCACCCCAGAGTGCTGAGCTCTGATCACTGTGTCCTGGTGGAGAGCTCACAACGGTGTTAGTTAAGAGACTGAGTTCATCTCCCATGATCTGTCAATGGGTTTCTCTCCCTTCCCCCTCTCCACATCTCTCTTATGCAATCCCTGGGCTAAAAAAGATTTTTTTTTTTTTAATGAGGGTCAGTGGGATAATGTGTTTTATATTTTTGGACTTAGAAAGCACTGTTTGTTTTTTAACAGGTTGGTTTTTTCTTCCATTGGAGTATTGCAAGATACAGATTATTGAAAGCAGGAAGATAGCAGTTATTGTTGTTGTTTGGTTTTATTTCTTTGCTTTACTTACTGAACAGGAAGACTAGTTCTAATTACCTCATGAGTAAACTCAAGTAAAATGTTGTTGTTGTTAGTTGCCGTCAAGTCAGTTCTGACTCATAGCGACCCTGTGTACAACAGAACAAAACACTGCCTGGTCCTGCGCCATCCTCACAATCGTTGTTATGCTTGAGCCCTTATTGCATCCACTGTGTCAGTCCATCTCATTGAGGGTCTTCTGCTTTTTTGCTGACCGTCTGCTTTACCAAGCATAATGTCCTTCTCTAGGGACTGATCCCTCCTGATAACATGTCCAAAGTATGTAAAATGTATACAGTTAAAATATCCTCCCGGGGAGCAGGCGTGCTATAGTTCCAGGCAGAAAGCTAATAAATAACTTAAAAAACCCATTGCAGTTGAGTCAATTCTGACTCTTAGCGTTCTCTTTATTCCATTTGACATATTGAGTTAAAGCATTCACGAACACGTTTAAGCTGATGAGAAAGTCAAATACCATAGGAAAGAAAAGATGTGCCTGTGGGACAGCTAACCCAGGTTTGTGGTTTGTAGGGGTTTCTTCAGTTTTAACGTGGTGGTTGATCACTTGCTTTGGTGTTTTTTTTTTTCCCCTGGAGGCCATAACTAGAGATTTGGCCTTTCCTTGAAAATAGACTAGTAGGACCACAGAGCAGTAAAGACCTTAAAGATAATTAAGAATACATTCTCTCTGTTTACCAATATCAAATATGAGGCCTGGGAAGTTGAGGCAACTATAACCAAAACTCATTGCCATCAAGTTGATTCCGACTCATAGCGACGCTATAGGACGGAGTAGAACTGCCCCATAGTGTTTCTAAGGAGCGGCTGGTGGATTTGAACTGCCAACCTTTTGGTTAGTGGACGAGTTCTTAACCACTGTGCCACCAGGGCTCCATTGAGGCAACTATATATGTATATATGTCATGTCATATCATATCATGTCTATATATATCATATATATTTATATCATATATAAAATGGGGGAGGCTCATTAGATTTAGATAGGATGCTCCTTCAAAGCCTTATTTCTCTTCATTATAATTAAAGGGTATAGATCAGTGGTTATGAGCTCAGGATTTGAAGGCAGACAGCCTGTGTGACCCGAAGGCAAGTCACTCAACCTCTACAGGGTCTTTTTTTTTTTTGTCTTTTGCCTATTTACTCACAGATCCATTTCCTACTCTTACCCAGTTCTGGTCTGCATTACAGAGACTGACTCATGCAGATTACACTTCCCAGGCTTCCTTTCAACTGGCATCCTGCTTGGTTTGGACAATGGGAGGGAGTAGAAGGAGACTGAAGATGGGAAGAAGAGATAAATCAGGGTATTTCTCCCTGCCTCCTCCTGTTTTGGGCCTAGGTCTCTGGAAATGGCTGAGTTTCTTCTATGGTTCTACCTCTGCTGGGCTTCCCTAACTTCTGGCTTCTGGTGACATGGCCTCCTCCTGTTATCTCTATAGCTGCTGGAGTCTGAGTAATTTACTGCTATTGCTAATTTCTGGGTTGCCTCACCATTCCTATTTCCCCTTTCACCTATTCAAACACCTTTGTAACTTGTGCCCCATATTCAATTTCTTCTCTTGGACCTGGTATGGACTCTCTTTCCTGACTGATATGCTCTGTATATCTGTTTACTTAGTTAATGACATTATACTGTTGTGGAGTTTAGTTAACGTGTATAAAGTGCCTGACACACAGTAAGCACTCAATCAATATTAGCTGATAGTATTGTTCAGAATATCTTCAGCTTAAATCTCTTCAGTGAACAAGGACAAGAGTAACCAAATTCTATCTTTATGAGAGGGAAAATGTTTCAAATAAAAATTATACCCATACTTCATCTATAAATGTAGTTACTGCAGCTGTTAGAGGAGCCCTGGTGGCGCAGTAGTTAAGCGCTCAGCTGCTAACTGAAAGGTCAGTTGTTCGAACCCACCAGCTGCTCTGTGGGAGAAAGATGTGGCAGTCTGCTCCCATAAAGATGACAGCCTTGGAAGCCCTATGGGGCAGTTATATTCTGTCCTATAGGGTTGCTGTGAGTCAGAATCAACTTGGCAGCATCGGGTAACTGCAGCTGTTATGTAGTTGTCAGTCAAAAAATAATTCAGTTCATTTGTTTAATCATATTGATCAATTGTTTGAAAACCCTACAAGGACAAGCTGATCATTTAGATGCACTGCTAAAGTCCATTAGCTAGCTATTGTCCATCTAAGAACAGCAAACTGCAGCAATACTTGGATTTCCACTCTCAATTAAATCATGTGTTCATTTGGCTGACTCCGCTGTGCTCACAAAACAAGCTGTTAACACATTAAAATATCAGTTGACCTGGCAAAGTGATTAACTGTGATGGTACATATGTTTCCACCCCTACCCCTCTAAATCTAATTTCTGGAGTTTTAAACAATATTCTTAGAATGTTTAAGCTTGATGCATCCTAAGATAGCTTGATTAGTAGAGTGAAAGGTCTGCTGCGCACCTGTTTTCCTACTCTATTTGGCCACCAATTGTGCTTGTGAAGTTACACCTCTTCTCTGAGCCCCCAAGCTATATAGTCAACTCCCTACTGGGCATGTCCTTTTGGATGATACTTAGGCATCTAGAACTTAGCCTGTTCAACTTGGAGCTTTTTTACTTCTCTTGAAAACTGGTCCTCCATCTCAGTAAATGGTGAGACACTTCACTCAATTCCTGAGATAGCCAGAACTCATGGATACCCTTGATGCCTTCCTTTCCCTCACTATCTACATCCAGTCCACGACCAGGGCTTATTGAGTCTGCACAAACCTGGCCACTTCTCTTCTTCTCCATTGCCATTCCAAGCAAAACTACTAGCATCTCTCGTGTGCCCACAATTCTAACTGGTCTCCACCTCCCGTACTTTCTTCCTCTCTTCCTCACAGAGTAGTCAAAGTCATCCTTTAAAAATGTAAATTAAATTATATTAGTCACCTGCTACAAAAGCTTCAATGGCTTCCTATTGCAACTAGAATAAAATAGAAATTTATTTCCAAGACCTGCAAGGTCCTGCATAATCTATCCTCCACTAATTTCCAACCTCATCTGTTGTCTCTGCACATTCTGTTCATTCTTCTGGGTCACTCTGGCCTCTGGCAGTTCCTGGAACACATCAGGCCCTGTTTCTTCTCAGAGTCTTTTCAGTTGCCAATCCCTGAACCTAAAATGGAGCTCTGGTGGCACAGTGGTTAAGAGCTTAGGCTGCTAACCAAAAGGTCAGCAGTTCAAATCTGCCAGCTGCTCCTTGGAAACCCTATGGGGCGGTTCTACTCTGTCCTATAGGGTCCCTGTGAGTCGGAATCGACTTGGCGGCAATGGGGTTTTGTTTGTTTGTTTGTTTTGTTTTATGCCTAAAATATTCTTCTATTTTCTCCTCCCTTTTAGTGCTTCAGCATTCAAGGTAAATGTTACCTCTACAAAGAAGCCTTACCTAACCACCGTTCCTAAAACAAGGCCCTCAGTCATTATCTATCAAAGAAACTCCTTTCAGTTCTTCATAGCACTAATACCAATCTGCTATCATTTAACGCTAAGCTTTTTGTCTGTTTTCGTTTGTATTTCTAGTCAATACCAGAATACCTGGGGCATAATAGGTACTCAATGAATGAACAGTTGAATAAATGAGTGTATATAAACCATCAGAGCCCACATGTGAGAGTCATGGTATTCTAGGTAAGGTGATGGAAGCATAGGATTCCAGAACTTTCTAGCACACTCATGGTATAATCCAAATCAGTGGTGCCCTCGTATAAAAGGCTCTGGTGCCTGGACTGTGTTCTGATCAAGTTTGATTATTATTAGTGGATTAATTTAGAGATAAATCTTGTCCTTATTCTGTTAATCCCAGATTCCATAAAGGAACCAAATTAATTTTTATGTCTTTTCATGTATTAATCATAGACTTTCAGTATTACATTTCTCATCACTTAGTTACAAGGAAAATGAAACCCAAAAACAGGAAAATTGGCCATTTTTAGGGAATTACAACTTTTGATGGAGAATCAAAAAGCCATATGATATTGCTATGACAGAATATCCGTATGAGGACTTTTACATTACTACAACCGGGAAAGTGGTTATTCCATTTTCCTCTTGGGGCATTTCCACCACACTAGAGGGGGCTGTTGTACTGAGTTTTCTTGTTTAATGTTCGAAATAATTTTATTATATAGATCTGATGTGGCTTTCCTTAATTTAGGATCAGAAACTTATAGGGTGATGATTTGTACCCATGAATACTTTTTATATGGGCAAATCTAATTTCTCTGTAGAGGAATCACTGGTCTTTATAGTTAGAGGAACTGGATGTTATTCCACGTACCTATCAAATCCTCTAAAATTCACAGAATTCAGAGGCAGTACACACCAGACTCACTTAATGAAGAATTCCTTTGAAAGTTTGCTTTTATTACATTTAATGCCCAAATACCCACTGAATTGTATTATTTATGCTCATTCTATGCCGTTTTCTTTCAAGGTAGAGAAATGAGTATTGTTTTTCTACGTTTGTGTTGTATCAACATATGGGAAAAGATGAGCAGAAGTCTACATAGCTCTAATTCCTGCTTGGGAGCCTACAAAATTGAGTACTTATGAAATTAATATTTAAAATTGTGTATCTAGGCATAATTGTAGAGAGAGAGATAGAAATTTAGAGGGTGAGAGACTGGCCATATAGCATTTTAAAGGCTTTTTTTTTTTTAATCTTTCACTTTTGCAAAGCCTAACAATTCTTTGATGGTCTGCAACACATTTACCTAATTGTTTATTTATAAAACAGCAGATCCCACGTATGAGCATCCACAGTGTACTAGATAAGGTGACGAAAGGGTAGGACATTGTGTTTAAGGTAGGGGTGAGCAGGATTCACGGATCTGTAAGAAACTGATAGATCATCTCATACTCGGGGCAATGAAGTGGCCTTCCCAGGGTCACACAGTTAGGATTCCAATTCGGCATTCTGCCTCCAAGCCCAGATCTCTTTTCTATGTAAACCCTTCAATTTTAAGGACAAGGTAGTCATTCATCATTGTGAGCAATCCATGATACCAAGCAATTTTGTTCCTGTTTTTCAAATAGAAAAGTAAAAGATGAAAAAAATTTTAAAATACTTGGCTATCAAAAGTTAATTACAGTATAATTGGGCCTAGAATTCAGGAGCCTCCACCCAGTGTTCTGACTATATCGCCACTAAGAGGCACTCCTTCCTAGAAAAAGCAAGTATCAGATGTGTAGGGATAAGTAGAAAGTTCATTTTCCACAAACAAATTTCTTTTTATGTTTCAGCTCTGTATTACCCAATAATGAACTTCAGTTAATACAGTGAAAGAAAAACTACCTTTTGTGAATGATAAATGGTGTACTTTCTTCCCCTTCTTTTACCCACTCTGGATACCAAAAATGCCCTGACATCATCCTCTTTTTTTTCTCCTCCCTCCCTCCCCCTCAGGACTGCTGTATGTTGGCTTTAGCGCCTGCATGTTTGGGCTGTACAGCTTTATGCCGGTCGTCATAAAGAAAACCAGTGCCACTTCTGTCAACCTCTCTCTGCTCACAGCAGATTTGTACAGCCTATTCTGTGGATTGTTTCTCTTTCACTACAAGGTATGTTGACTCAGTACTCCTTTGGGAAGGTGATACTTGTTAGGAAATAATATGGTGCATATAGGTAGGAATGTCCTGATGTGGAATACCCCGATCTTGTGTAGGGAAACAGGATTCAATTCTGCTGTGCTAACCCCATGTTTTAGGTATTCACATTTCAACCATAAGACTGAGGCAACATTTTATCACAAGAGACCAGTAACTACAGACATTTGATAGTGAAAGATAAGAAACAACCATAGAAGCAAAGACTTTTGAATTTTGGAGGACAGTTTTTCAGACGCCATTCAGTCCAGAAGCTACTCTTTTTCCAGCCTGAAGCTAGGAAGATTTATAAAACTCCCAAACTGCAATCACCAAATGGATTCTGCCAAAAGCATTGGCAGAGTATGACCTCACTGGAGAAAAGAAAGAGTTCTGCAGTTTCTGCTTTACAAATATTTTTATAGCAAATATGAATGGGAAATGCTAATGCATTAGGAATAGTTTCTTTACTAAAAGATTGTGGTTTGGGTAAAGGAATGCAAAGAGATGTTGTGAAGTGTTTGCAGTTAATATAGCAGCCCATGGAGAAAGGAAGAACCTATCCAGTCCAAATGACAGTCTCATAGAATGCAAGATTCTACCTCATCCCTACCTAAGGCAGGCACTGATTATGGCACAGTGAAGTCAGATGTTATGCTTCTTAACACAGCAGTCACTCTAGCCATTAATGATCAATTAGAACTGGTATGTAAGAAGCAACCCATCTGTCATTCCTTAACTAATCCTCTAAGATAAGGGTCAATGTAGGCTGTAGCCCAGTGTGGAACAGGTCAAGTATGGAATGTCTAAGCAGATTAAACCGAACTTGTTAGCTGCCATCAAGTCAGCTCAAACTCGTGGCGACTCCATGTACAACAGAATGAAACATTGCCCAGTCCTACAACATTTTCATGATTACTGGTATGTTTGAGTTCATTGTTGAGTGCCTCCCAACCTAGAGGACTCATCTTCCAGCACTATTCGGACAATATTCTGTAATGATCCATAGGGTTTTCATTGGCTAATTCTTGAAAGTAGATCACCAGGCTTTTCTGTCTAGACTGTCTTAGTCTAGAAGCTTTGCTGAAGCCTTTCCAACACTGGTGACACTGATGATATCTGAAATACCCATGGCATAGCTTCTAGCATCATAGCAACGTGCAAGCCACCACGGTATGACAAACTGACAAACAGGTGGTGGGAAACCAAAGTAGGACAGGCAAAAGAAGAAGGAAAAAGAGACACTACTCCAGCTATTTGTAGCCAAATGCTTCACCAGTGGTGTTATATTTAATATTACAATCACACTAGTGTGCCAAGCTGTTGGGGCATGCTTGGTCAGCAGGGTATCTTCAACTAGGTGAAAGTGAGGTTGGAGGTTCCCGGAGAAATGCTGAGCTGGAAAGAGTATGCAGTGCAGATGTCCAGAGGCAAAGAACCTGAAATGAATAATCAAAACTATTGTTGAGAAAATCCAAAGTAGTAGCCAAGAAACAGACCAAGGAGGGTAGACAAGGACAGAAAAGAAATCAGCAAACAAGGTTAGTAGCTAGAGGACCAGAAGCAGACCTAGAAGACTGCTGGAGAGGCTGAGAAGGTGGCTCTGGCTGAAGACAGGGATAAAATGCTCGAGTTCCTACTTTATTTTGCCAAGTGTGGTGGCAAACATGACGGCTTAAAGAAACTGTTCAGGCATAGACAATACTTATATATTGTTTGTAACGTGTTGTGTCTGTATAATGCAATCTCTGTTTCCTGATCTCACTCTGGTCCTCATTTTTCTGATTTGAAATAAAACTCTTTAAAATAATTGGAGAATCTGTTGACCAATCAGGAGCCCTGCATAGACATATATATGCAAAGCCTTGTTAATAGTATGGGTAACCCATTTTAGGACGTAACACAAATGCTTTATTTCTCCTTTCCCTTAATTCTCATTGTATTTACAATTGGCACCACACCAGTTAGTTCTGAATAAACACTACCTTGTATTGTTCTCTAGTTGTTTTATGAGCAATAGTGTTTAATCTCTGCAAAGAAATAAACTAAATACTCACTCAATTTAAACTTTAAAAAAAAAATTACAATGCTTTAATTTGTAATCAAATAGTCATTGTTTGGAAAATCCATCTTCCCCCCGCTAAAATCCCAGCTTGCCTGCCCCTTAAGTTGACCTTGGTTTCCGCAGATGGGAGGGGAAAAGGAGGGAGAAGAGTAGGACTAAATGACCCCAGGTTTCCCACCACAGCCATGATGGGCCATCTTGGAAAACTGATTTAAAAAAAAAATTATTGAAGGTTTTTTGTCATTATAAGAGTAATTTATGCTCAATGCAAACATCTTGTTAAATTTTGTAAAATTCAAAAATGATGATGGGGTGTGTGTGTGTGTTTGGGGAGATGGGAGAAGAAGCAGGTTTTACCTTTTTTTATTATTTTATTGTGCTTTAGGTGAAAGTTTACAGCTCAATGTTAGTTTCTCATTCAAAAAAATTTTTTAAATTTTTTTTTAATTGTACTTTAGATGAGGGTTTACAGAACAAATAGTTTCTCATTAAACTGTCAGTACACATATTGTTTTATGACATTGGTTAACAACCCCACGACATGTCAACACTCTCCCTTCTCGACCTTGGAGGACCTTTTTTTTGGTAATAATATACATAGTCAAAGTTACACCATTTCAAAAGTTTCTACATGTACAATTCAACTCATTAAAAAATTTACACACGTATTGTTTTGTGACATTGGTTGCAATCCCCACAATGTGAGAAGCTGGTTATACTTTTATATGTGTTCTTTAGAGAAATGTCTATTCAGATCCTTTGCCCATTTTTTAATTAGGTTATTTGTCTTTTTATTGTTGAGTTGTAAAAGCTCTTTGCATATTCATGATGTTAGATACTTATCAAATATATGATTTGCAAATACATTTTCTCCCCTTCTGTGGGTTGTCTTTTCACTTTTTTGGTAGTGTCCTCTAAAGCACAGAAGTTTTAAATTTTGACAAAGTTCAATTTATCTGTTTCGTTTTATTTTTATAAACATGAAATTAAACAAGTAAATCCCACCACTGCCATTGAGCCTCCAAGTCATCCCTGGTTGTTTCCCGCCTCAGCTCCTTTACAGGGCTACTAGAGAATGCATTTAATTGCTTTGCACTGTGTGCTCTAAGGGGAAGGGTGAAAAGTCAAAGCCTAAGGACAAGAAGATTCCAGTAGGATTAAGGTTTCTTTAACTATAAGAAGAGTGTCACGTGGCAGATGGTTTAGGCCAGTAATCTTCAGCTTTGACAGCATACTGGAATCACCTAAAGAGTTTTTGAAATACTGATGCTCTGGTCCCACTCTCACAGGTTCGATGTCCGTGATCTGGGCAGCAGATTTTTAAAGGCTCCCCAAGTGATTCTAGTGTGAAGCCAGGATTGAAAAACACTGGTTCAGACTTACTTTATATGTTGGTGAAACTAGGACCAAGATTATTGCTAAATCTAAAGTACGATAAGCTATTAACAGCTAGTCATCTGAAAATGGAATAGACTTAACTTTCCAGTCACTGGAGGAGTTCAGGTAGAAGCTGTACAAGAATTTGAGAGGGATAATGTGGAGGGGCCTCACACTTCAGGACTGGGGATTGGACCAATGACCTCTGGTTTTTTGGTTTTTGGTTTTTGGTTTTTCTATAACCTGCAGTTATGGTTTATTCTTTCACTTAAGCCTTTTGGTCTGATTATAAAGATCTGCAAGTTGAGAGGATAGGGCTATTTTCTCACCGATGTTGTTTACCCAGGCAGAACTAAATGATTAAATGAAGCTCTGCTGCCCAACATTGATTATTTGCTCTTCCTTGCTTCCCAGCCTTGGAAAAAAATCTATTCCTTTCTCCACCCATCAGTCTACTTTCTCCAGATGCTCTGCCTCTTATGCTGACTGTCATGTGCTGACTGGGCGGTAAAGCCCCACATCTCTGGGAAGCAAACGACCTAATTCTAAATTAGACTCTCTAGATGGTATAGTGCTATTGCAAACTCTAATTTTATGAGACTTTTGAGAAGTGGCTATATGTTTCTGTTTTTTATTACCTGACAACATTATTGAATCCAGATCAGTAAATCTATAGCAATCCATTTGAAGTACAGGAAATGAGCTTCACTGGGCCTCAGAGACTCCCAAACTAAACCAAGGAAAAGATTTACATGGAAGCTTTTCAATTTGTTGGTGTGTTGACTTTTCAAGGTCAGAACTTGGTCTATTATGAACTATTAAAAAAAAACCTGTTACTATCAAGTCAATTCTGACTCATAGTGACCCTATAGGATAGAGTAGAATTGCCCCATAGGGTTTCCAAGGAGCGGCTGGTGGATTTGAACTGCTGACCTTTTGGTTAGCAGCTGAGCTCTTAAGCACTGTGCCACCAGGGCTCCATGAACTATATTGCCTTATATTTATTGTCCAAAGAAGGATACTTTTGAAATTGAAAGGGAATTAGTTTGCTAGTACTACTGTAACAGATTACCACCAACTTTGTGGCTTAAAACACAAATTTATTCTTACATTTCTGGAGGTCAGAAGTCTCACTGGGCTAAAATCAAGTGTTAGCAGGGCTGTGTTGCTTCTGGATGCTTTAGCGGAGAATCCATTTCCTTGCCCTTTCCAGCTTCTAGAGGCCACCTACATTTCTTGGCTCGTGGCCCCTTCCACCATCTTGAAAGCCAGCAGTATAACATCTTCAACTCTCCTCTCTCGACTCTCTGTTTCTCTCTTATAAAGACCCTTGTGATTAGATTGGATCCACCCAGATACTACAGGATACTCTCAAAATCCTTAACATAATTACATCTGTAAAGTCCCTTTTACCATGTAAGGTAACATATTCACAGACTCTAGGGATTAGGACATGGACATCTTTAGGGGACTATTATTCTGTCTACCACATGGAGACTATTAATAATTATTCTAGGACAATAGAGTGTACTGG